GGGGAGAGGGATGCAGCAAGCAGAGACCTGTAGCTGAGCCTGAACTTTCTGTTTCTAATAAACTCAACAAATGGTTCCCATCTGCCTGACCTGTCTCTCTGCCATCTTTAAATATTTATATCAGTGTATCTATGGTGATAGGTCAGGTTATATAAATGGTGGGGGAAGGACAGCATCAGCTCCTGCTGGAGCTCCAGCCGAGGGAGTGAAAACCCAAGCAGGCTTCCTCTCCAAGGAGAAGCTCTCTCTTCTTAGCTCATGAGCACAAAAAGTGAGCATTCATTTTTCTCAGGGCATCAGAGAAGACTGAGTCACAGCTGGGCTGAGCTGTGCTTTGGGAGGTGCCAGAGCCCAGCCCGTGGATGCAAAGAGCTCTTATTGTATAATCAATGTATAATTCATTAGTAGGTGAATAAAGACTGGAATAGTTTATTGCTGATGTAACAGGGCTAAAAAGAAACCAAGCACGTCCGTGAGCAAGCTGCTGCACACAGGGGTTAAACAATAGCACTCAGTGATGCTGAGGGGAGACAGGGGATTCTGTCTTGGGATAATATAAACAACCCAGCTAGCTGATTGCCAGTGACTCCAGGGTGAGCAATGCAGGGATATGAATCTTCCTCCAAGAAATGCTGGGAAGGACCTTTCTTCTTTGCTTGCTGGAGTCTAAGGGAATAGTAACTAGAAGGCAGCAGGGCTTTAGCTGTTGGTGGTGAACATGTTTCTCCCAAGGGATGCCACTTCCTTGCAAGCTGAACAACAACCACACATATCCCTTCTAGATAAAGAGGTGGATTTTTCCTCTTGACCCTCCTGACAGGGGTAGATATGCACGTTGTGTCCAGGTATAAATCTGTTAGAGGGACCCCAAACGCCAGGTGATGAAGGTAGCAGTAGTTCTGTGCTGCTGGTGAGAGGGATGGCATGGTGGGGAGTGGAGTGAGTTCACCAGCAGGCCTGCAGTCAGTTATGGGTTTGACAGCTCTGGCCAAAAGCTGCAAAACACACACAGCCTGAGTTTTTCCAAAACAGCCTCCAAGACTTATCCAGAGCTCTCCCTCTTCACCCCCAGGTTCTTCCCCTCTGTCCCACACATTGTTACATCTCTCAGTGGGCAGGTTTGATTCTTGCTGCCAGTTGCTCATTCTCCCAGAAGAGGAACTACACAGTTAAGGAATAGACCACTTTTCTCCCCAGCTGAATTTTACTAACAGAGAGAGCTGCAATGACACTTCATGTGAAAGCTGCAGGATGTGTGTGATCTAACTGTGTATTCACAGCAGCTTCTGACCTCAACTGCTTTCAGCTGTGCTGGCCGAGATCTGTGTGGGGCATCTTCCATCTCTGGCTGCATGTCTAGAGGAGAATTATAGCCAGCTGCTTTTCCAAATGCATTACTTCTGCACCTGGTTAGAAAAACATGTGTCTATCAACTATTACTTCCAAAAATATTTTGTGTGTCTGCAGCTTATAAACACAGCTTTACCTTGGCAGGAGTTGGCTTCCTTACACTCCAGCACTGCAAGGCTCCACCCAGATTTGCCAGCTTCTAAGGTTTTGCAAGGACTTGCTCAGCAGTGTCTTCTCTAGGAGGATGCTGCAGGCATCAATTCAAGCTGCACAGTAAAGGGGTTGCTGCATGAGGAAGTTGCCTTTCAAGGACTCTCAAACACAGGGTTAAAAGGGCAGGAAATAGCAAACCAGTCTGGAGTCAAGACAGCACACCACAAGGCTGAAAGATTCTCACTCTCCTCACCACCAAATCTCTGTAGAGAGTTACTGTATTATTTAACTAACCAGTGCTTTCCACAAGTGCTCTAAGCATCATCCACTGCCATCAGAGTGAGTGGAAAAGCTCCTCTGTCTCATAAGCAAGCTGTGGTCAGTCCAGCCATGAGCATATGGTGAGCCCCATGTAGGTTTCTATGGAATTTAATGCCTCTGTTGGCAGAGCAGTGCCTGAGCAGTGCATGGATGGTGAAGGGTGGAGAGCAGCACAAAAGGTGCCTGCTGCTCCTATAGGCTGATACTCCCCAGCCCCAAAAGCTTATAGGTAGTCCCAAAGGTGGCCACAAAGGCCAGAGCAACCTGGCCTTATGCTGGTCCCTCTTCCTGTGGCCTCAGATAGAGCTGGGGGTTGTCTAAAGTAAAAGGAAAAAAGTAACTCATGAGCAGAAGCTAATGCATGCTCAGAGAGAGGCAGACTGCAACTGCCCAGATAATCTTAGTGGAAATAACTGATAATTGCTGCAACTTAATTGACAAGTAGCTGGAGCCAATTCACAACTAAATATTTAACTTTGCACCTTTGGTTTGAAATTTCTATTTTTTTTTTCTCCCATATATGCCTACATGAATGGATATCTTTCCTAGCAGAGTGTGAGTGTTGACATGCTTATAACAAACAGCTTCCTCTAGAGCAAGCCCCAGGAAGGCTCACTGCTCTGCAGGTGTTTCCGTGTCTGGCTGCTAGCTTGCATCCCCAGTGCTCAGCTCCATGCTCTTCTCCCACCAAAATCTCTCTCTCACTCCTCTCAACACTGTGTAAATCTTGGCACTGCTTATCAATAAGTTCCTGGGGTTTTGCTCTGGTCACACAAGAGCTGTAATTTGCCCCTAGACAGCAGCAAATAAGGGACTAGTAAGTGCAAAAACATTCATTGTAGAACAGGGATTTTTTTGTTGGCAGAGGTGTAAAAACACTGTTTAACACTCACCCACCCTGCAGGTTCCATCCAGCTATCCCTCGGTGCTGCCACTTCTACAACTGTGAACAAAATGTTAACACTGCACATTTCTGTAACAGGTTTCTAAAAATCAAGGAGCTGAAGGGATCTGCTTTTCTGCTTCTGAAAATCACAGCGGGATGCCATCACATCCCTGCTGCTACACACAACACAAGCTCTGGGAGAAGAGCGTGTCCAACTAGGCATGGCTGTGTCACCTCCTTGTTGGAGGTGCTGCTCCTTGCAGGGGAGCTCCAGCAGCCAATGAAATGGGAATAAAGCTCATGAGATGGCCAGTGGCTGGACACACTCTTCTCCCAGATCTTGTGTTGTGTATAGCAGCAGGGGCTCCTGCCACCCTGCGATGACATCCCTCTGTAATTTTCAGGAGCAGAAAAGCAGATACCTTCATTATATATATGGTACTCCTGTCCACAACTATGCCTTTACATTAAAAACTGACCTGGGAAGGTGGAGCACCTAAAGATTCAGCAGTCCTGGTGGTGATGCTTTAACAGAGATTTTTTTTACCCGTTGACGAGGCTTGAGCAGGTAACCCACACCGATGACACTGACTCCACCAATTTGTCCACGATGTTTTTTGATACAGTACAATATCAGCAGTTAACTAGCCAACGCAGAGCAGCGTGCAAGACCTGACTACCTAATCCTTAAAATAGAGAAACCATAGACATTTCTTCCATGTAAATACTCTGGTTGTTACAGTTTAAACATGTCCTTAAGCAGTTTTCCTGCCTCTGCTTGCATTACTCCCTGAGAGGTGCCATCCTGCTGGCCCATCAGCTGGCTGAGGGTGGGACAAGGTTGATGAGCTGCTCCTTTTCCTCCAAAGGACCAAGACCATCCTCTCCCTCCAGCACACTGCTGGGACTGGCAAGCACAAGCTGCCTAGGGAATATCTCTTCCCAGCACTGAAAGAATTACTGAGTCCCCCCATGGTGTAAACTCCCAAGCAATGCAGGCAGCTTCATGCATGGCACAAAAAAGAGGAGGAATGATGGCCTTTTGCAAGAAATTCATCTTTATTGAAGCAACCATGAGTCACATGAGCTACCACCTGGCCTGATGAATAACAATAGCAGTAGCCTGACAGCAGCAGCTGGAGCTCACAAAGGAGATGGTCTCTTTCCAGAGATCAATATATGTGATGATACATATACATGTGTAAGTGAATACTTCCCCACTAGAAAGTGCATATCGTACCCAATTTCCTACCAGACTGAAGTGTGTTGGTGACTGCCAGGAGGTAGCTTGAATATACACTGGGCCAGTTTGAACTTCATCCTGCTTCCAGTGAAGTCAACAGTGAAGCTCTGCTGGTTCCAAGGGTGTGGAATGAGAAGTGACAGCCTCCCTCAGCCCTGCACAACACAACTCTTTCCAATGCAAGGTATTTGCAGCCCAGGTTAAAATGCCAGCCAGGTGCTGTAGGCCGTACTGCTGTTCTTGTGCATGCAAAAGCCCCTGCCAGAGGGCCAGGACTTGTCCTGAATATCAGCACAGGGTTTTCCATGTTCATCTCAGTAAACAATTGCTACTTACAATTTTTCATGCCTAAAAACCACTATGTACAAGAGAAGTGAAAGCTGTTGCTGGCTCAAAAGACATTTCACGCAGCTGTATAACTTACAGCTACATATATTGCAATGATGGGTTTCAGCTCAGAAGCTGCTCTGCCTCCTCAACATGAGGACATAGCTAGACTGACAGCCTTTTACAAATTCTGTTTATTATTGATAAAATGATGTAAAAAGGATGTGGAGTTGGACATTGTATTGTTTGACCTGGCTGGAGATCAGTCCTGTTCTCTTATAGATTTGAACTTCTGTTTGTGTGTGTAATATCAAAGTCCTTTTACCACAAGAGCACAGTGGGCTAGCAAAGCCTGATAAACATAGCGCTGGGGCCGGAAGTTACAGAATCACACAATCAGCCAGGTTGGAGATCACCAAGTTCAACCTATGATCTAACACCACCTTATCAACTAAACCATGCCACTGAATGCCATGTCCAGTCTTTTTTTGAACACCTCCAGGGATGGTGACTCCACCACCTCTCCCTGGGCAGCCCATTCCAATGCTCAATCCCTTCTTCTGTGAACAATTTTTCTCTAATGTCTAGCCTAAACTTCCCCTGGCACAGCTTAAGACTGTGTCCTCTCATCCTGTCACTGGTTGCCTGGGAGAAGAGACCAACCACCACCTGGCTACACTGTCCTTTCAGGCAGTTGTACAGAGTGATAAGGTCACCCTGAGACTCCTTTTTTTTCCAGGCTAAATAACACCGGCTTCCTCAGCCACTCTTCAGAGCTTGTGCTCTAGACCTCTCACCAGCTTTCTGGCCCTTCTCTGAATATGTTTGAGCATCTCAACATCCTTCCTAAACTGAGAGGCCCAGAATTAGACACAGGTGTGGCTTAACAAGCCCATGTGAAATCAGTGTGGCATGAAGATTTAGGAGGCTGACTAAATCCTATGAATTTAAAAAAAAAAAAATTGTGTTGCATTAGCAAGGAGGAATAACAGAAATATGTCCTTCTGTTGGTCAGTTGTTTCAAAGCTCATTCACTACTTTCTGACTTTTTGTCCTGATCTCCACCAAAAGTTCTATACATTTGGCAACACTTGAAAATGGGAAAACTAGCTGACAGTCATTGGATGCCTATGTAGCATCCAGCATGATCAGAAACATGCCCAAAGTTAATCATTGCAAGTGTCCAGGCTGGGAGAGCACATTTCCCATTAGTGGTGACACACTTCTGTCATTTATTTACTGATAGTGCAACATTGATCCTGGGCTGTGATTCAAAGCCATCTTCCTAGAAACATTGCATCTTTGGGGATCACAGGGAACAGCTCAGATGACAGCACGAGAGAAGTTTGGTTTAATGCTGTGATTTTTGCTGGGCTTTTCTCTCCATTTGGTTGTAAAGAACTCCTCGTGTCCTTGTGGAGCCACAGCCCATACTTCTCCTATCGAGGGAATCTGCATCTCTGAGCCCAGTTGTAGTGCAGGACAGGGAAATGTATGACACATATCCCACCACCTGACCCCACGCAATACCTTCCCAGGGCATTTTGTGGGTGACTTCAGACATCTTCCTGTGCCAAGAGCTGGCTCTGCCTGGTAGGGATGCCCAGGCATCAGGTTTCTACCTCTCTCGCAGGATGTATTTGCCTTTCCGGTACAGGTTGCTGCTGAAGTGGATGGAGAACCAGAGGAATGAAGTTAGGAACATCCCATAAACCTAAAAGGAAATAAATGAGATAGGCATACAATTAAGTGTGTAACTGATTATGATGCTCCCTCTCTGCAAATAAGCAATCACAAATATTGCCTGTTGTCACAGTTTGCTGAGCAGAGCTGGTTTTCAGCTGAATGGTGCTGAACACCATTTCTAACATGGAAGTTTAAAAAAAAAAATCAACACATGGTTAAAACATCTGATTGGAGTTAGCATAGCACAGCTCAAACCTGGCCCTAAAAATACCAAGAAATAAGATGAAACCAGGAAATTCAGATTTAATTCCTGCCACAGAACATTCCTCTATGCAAACAAACATACCTCTTATAATAGTAGCCCTTTTGTAAAGATACCATAGGGAGAAAAAACCACAACACCCATGTCTTGTTTGAAGAAAAAACCCCAACAAAACAAACAAACAGACAAACGCCTAAACCAACCCCAAACAGTTATGAATGCAGATGACCGTGTACTTCCTCTGTATTGTGATACTCTGCCTAGTGTATCACACATCAGTATTAACACAGGCAACATATCCAAGGTAAGGCTGCTGTGGGAAGGATAATGATGGCTGTAACAATGTGCTCTTTCTTCAAGTATGCCCTAATGTGCTAATGCCTTTGCTTGCAGCTTGATCTGGGGATGTGTGTGCATTGTTGGCTGAGGGACAGTGACATCAGAGCAGCTATAGCCCTCTTTATGTGCTTCCCTTGCATCCTGCCATCACAATAGCGAACTGCGCGGCGAGATTTCCTCCAGCACAGGCTTCAAAGACAGCTGCCTTATCTGGCTACAGCATCAAGCTGTGAAAAAAGTGTATCTGTTATAAAAGTGCTCCAGCTTTTATCTGAATATAGCTACAGTGAAATTCTCCTTATACTTGAGAAAAATCGGTGACACCAAATATTCACACATTACTTTACATTTACAGCTCCATAGCAATACCTGAATGTTTTCCTACTTTACTGCTATAAAATACAAATCGTTTGTTCCTCTGGGTTTTATTTAAATGGAGAAGACTCTTCTAATCCATGAATGTGCCAAGGAGGCCACAAGGCATAAAACAATCTCCAAATACACTTTCAATCAAGAAAGGTCATCACAGCTGGGGAGCAGCATGGAGATATCACATCATGGTGATACCATGCCTTCGTGGTGGAGAAAGTAGTCTCCTGGCACATGCTCTTTTCTGGTGTGCATCACGTTGTGTACAGGTAATTACAGTGATACACCTCTGCCAAGCAGTGAGTGGGCAAACAAGAAGGCTGGTTTTAACTAGTGGCCTGCTCCAGCTCCAAAGAGACCATCCCCATACAGCCCCAGAGCCCCCTCACCACTGAAAGACATGCTTCCCTTGCAGCATTTAATCTTCTCTTTTGTTCTCCCCAAAATTAACTGCAGAGCCTTTCTACATGAGCCATCATCTGAAGATGATTTCACCTCTCCTCTGTATGTTACTCCTTCAAAGACAGAACCTGGGAGCCCAGACAACACACTCTTTCCATCTCCTTTGCAGCCTGCTCCTTATGAGCCTGTGATTTACCCACACATTGCCCGAGATGAACCTCATCAGATTCATATAGTGATCATTAAAAGGATGAGACCTTCCCCTTCTGCACAGCTCTCTAGCTCCACTGCTGGTGCTCAGTAGCTTTCAAGACCTTCCAGCTTCTTGCTGCACAAGCAACTTCCCAGGCTGATCTAGGAGGTAGCAAGTTTTCTAAAATATGAAGGGTTTACTGCATCTCCTTTTCTGCCATTGTTGCTGGCTTCCTACCTAATCCACAAGGCCCCAGCGAGGTGACATGGCCTCCTCACTCACAGGAGAAGTCATGCAGGCAAGCCTGAGTGGATGAAATGCAACTGCTGCTGCATCCTGCTCCCCACTCCCAAATGCCATGCCTTGTTAGGGCACAAAAACCATCTAGCGAGCCTCTTCCTGCAGGAAAACCCCTCCACCTATCAGCCTGGCTGGATTACTGACCCTTTCCCAATTTCCACAGTGGAGTCCACCATTGCTTGTGTCTCTGCTGCCAGCATCCAAAATCACTCAAAATTCTAGCTTCTGGGGGCTAATTCAGGATACTGGATCCAGCCTTTCAGGGCCAAAATGTGAAAGGACAGACACTGTTACCGTGAAGCCAATGGCGATGCCCAGGAGCGAGAAGACAAAGTCCATGTGCTTCTTCAGAAAGTCCTGGATCTCTTGCAGGCAGTCCTGGGAAGAGAGAAACAAATACCCCTTGCAACACAGCAGCAGCTTGGTGGGGGGCTTTATCCCCACAACAGCACTTCTACAGCCTCAGAGAGAAAAGGAGGCAAGAAAGGGGTGCAGCATTGCACAGCTGGGCAGTTCTCCCTTCTTATGCTGCTGCAGCTTGGGAAGACAAACATCTGTGATATCTTTTCTGTTACTACAACACGCCTACAATTTTATTGGTGTGATGCATTTTGGACTGTGGAGGATGTGTGCTTAAGTGTGGTCAGGCAAAAGCTTTTTTCTTTTCACCCACTGAAAAATTGAAAGAAGGAAGTGGAAAGATAGAACAGCAGAGCAGAGTGTGATGCCAAATGCATTCCCCAAGGTTACTAATGAACAGCTCGATTTTGCGAGGTGCTGCAAGCATTAATATACATTAGCCTTAAGCATACCAATGGCCTCACAGAAATCCCCGAGGTGTTAGCCAAGACAGCCATTTCAGAAATGCAAGAGCATGCCCGTGATGAAGGGGTTTGCAGAACAAGGAAAGAGCATTCAAAGCCAGGAGCAAACGTGGTGTGGCCACCAACCTCTGTGGTTTCCTGTGTCACATAAAGCACATCCTCCCACTCACTTCCCTGGCTCCCAAGCGAGGGAAACACACCACTAAGTGGGAGGAATGAGTCGCCCATACGGTGCCCAGCTTTGTTCTGCTCTCCCTTCCTGCTCTTTGAGCAGAGTTCCACCCTGCCCTGGGATGTGACATTCCTGGAGGACGTGCTTTGAAATGCTGCTCCTGCGGGATGATGTGCGCCTGTGCATCACGGTTGCTGCTAGCGCTTGACATCTTCACCTGACAACCTGTTTGTATCACTGCAGCGGTGTGGTTTTGTTTTTTCCTAGAAATACCATATATTGATGCTGGTGGCTTTAGCAGCTCTGGTGGAAGAAACATCATCGTGCAATAGATATGCTCAGAGAGTATGAAGTTGTAGCTTCAATGCACAACAGTCTAATACTGGAGGCTTCTCCAGCAGCCTCACTGAGATACCTGACAGAGCCAGAATGAAGCGTACTGGAGGAAGCTACTGCTGGGCATCACAGCCTGCTTCATGAGCTTCTCATTTTAATACCTATTTAATGCCCTGGAGAAAAAGTAATTACATCAAATTCCACATTTGCTGTTAACTGGAACACATTTTAAGTGTCAGAAATTAGTGTCATGTGAAAAAGTCAGGGTTTTTTGCGCTCTGATACATGCCTGTGATATCTCACACTCTCTGCAAGCACAGAAGATGAGCAGGAAGCTGGAGGGAAGTGACAGGCTGCAAACACAAGCATTTTGAAGGCTTTTTTAAACAGTGAAGGAAACTGCATCTGTGAGTCTGAGACCTGCTGATCCGCCAGGGCTCTTCCTCCTGATTCACAGAATCGTAGAATCATTTGAGCTGGAAGGGACCTTAAAGATCCCATCCAGTTTCAGCCCCCCAGCCATGGGCAGGGATACCTTTCCCTAGACCAGGTTACTCAGAGCTCCATCCCACCTGGCCTTAAACACTGCCACAGATGGGGAATTCCTAAATTCTCCAGGCAACCTGTGCCAGTACCTCACCACCCTCACAGCAAAGAATTTTTTCCTAATATTTAATCTAAAACTACTGTCAGTTTCAAGACATTCCCCCATGTCCTGCCATTACACCCTCCTGCAAAAAGTCCCTCTCCATCTTTCTTACATCTTTCTCCTTTTCTAGAAGGACACAATTAGGTCACCTCCATGCCATCTCTCTTCCAGGCTGAACAAAAGCAATCCTTTAAGCCATTCCTTGTTGGAGAGATGCACCATCCCTCTGATCATATTGGTGGCCTCCTCTGGACTTGCTCCACCAGGTCAATGTCCTTCCTGTGCTGGACCCCAGAGCTGAATGCACCACTCCCATACTGTGTCTGGTGTTATTGAAACAACAAAACCCCAACAAAGGAAATCCCAACCTGTTTCAACCCCAAAACATCAAAAAGCACAATTCTCATTAACACTTTAGCACCAGCGAGGTTTTGATAGCTAGAAAGTAGAGGCACAACTCCCTTATGGTGTGGGAGAATCCTTTCCCTTACCTGTCCTTCATCATGCACTTGGTTGGGTGGGCATGTCTTGTTCTCAACATCAGTTGTGTCCCCAAAAGGAGAGTGCTTCCCACAGCAAAGGAACTGCAAGAGAGGGAGAAGTCAGCCAGCTGCTCACCAGGGCTCTCCCCTTTGCTACCAGCTGCTGCAGCAGGAGGTGCTGGCAATGGGCCCCCGCTGCCTCAGGCAGGGCTACCCAACCAGGGTGGCAAGGAGCAAAGCATGTAGGAATCAACAACTGCAGCAATGCAAGCTAAATTCAGGGGAGGTGGATGGATCTGGCCTCAAACTTGCTCATGCTCCCCCAGGACTGCTGCCTGGGAATGGGGCCGAGCCCTTCCTCTGTGGTCATATTTATGCTCCCAGTGGCTGCTCCAGAAAGCCCAGGGATGCAGACTCATGTTTCCAGTAATTGTTATGGGCTGAGGGGATCCTCAGCAACACCCACCCGGGAGCTGGTTTCCTACAGCTGTGGTGCACTGGGCAGTTTGGAGCTCTGGCAGAAGGGGAAAAAAAACCCCAGGAGTAGAAATACTGCTTCTCCATCAATTCAAGTGGCAACTAAAATAAGCAACTGGTGAAGCCAGACATTGTGCCTGGTTCTCCTTGTCAAATGGGACCCTGGGGGTGCTGCTGGTGGACCCTGAGAGCAAGCACTTCCATACTTCCATGCCTGGGCATGGCTCTGAGGGCCATCACCACCACTGCAAAAAGGAACATTTGACCTCTTCTGTGTTTTGAGAAGCACAGATAGAAACAGCTTTGAAAAGTACTTGTTATGATGGTTTAAGAAAACACAGAAGGATACAGGGAGTTGTGTGGGAGGTGTCTGGAAACAGCTGAGCAGGGCTGACCTCCCCATCCAGCCCTGTATGTGCCATGAACTCACTCCCCAAACAAGCCCTGCTGTGCGAGGGAATGGCATCTCCTTTACTCAGCAGGGACTCGGGAGTTTCTCACTGTGGGGGACATCCTCACTCATCTCCTGTGGCTTTGGGGGCAAGCGTCCTCCCTGTGCTCTGGGTAACCACCCTTGCCTACCTGCTGAGCTACACAGACCAACAGCATCCTGGGTAGTGGTTTTTGGGAGCCTGATAGCAGTCTCCAGCTCTGTAAGAGGCCATGTAGCCTCCAGTATTCCTCAGACACAAACTTGAGGATAAATAGGGATAACCACATGCAAATACTACTGCTGGACTAAGTGGAATTCCTGCCCCTTCACCTCTACTTGACCAGGTGCACATCCACACTCTTGTACCACAGATAGGGAGCAATTCACAGGGGCTGCTGAGACAGAAAATACTATGGCAGCTGCAGGACAGAAGCTTTGTAGATCTTGCACCACAGTGATACTCAGAGAGGTGGCCCTTTGTTCCTGTTGGTAATCTGGTTGGTCAGATATGAGAAAGGAAGAATAAGAAGGGAGGAGCAGACTCCACAGCAGGCTGGAGGATTTATTCTTGAGGGAAAACGGCATTGCAGCATTCACGCGACAGAGCACAGGTGTCAGCCCCAGCCTGCCAAAGCCCTCAGGAAGACACCCCAGAGCAAGGTTTTCTCCTGCAGGTAAAATACAACTTACTGCTTCATGGATGGCAGTCAGCTCGTGCCTCCTGAAGCTGGAGGTGTTCCTCCTCACCTCTTCGTACACAAAATCATACACATCCATCATACTGTCTTCCACCTGCAATGAAAGCAGAGGTCTGTAGGTACAAAACACTGATCACAGTCATCTCTGGGGGGAATTGTGCTCTTCTTGATTTCCACAGAAGATCTCCCAGGTATAGCAATACAAGTAGTAGCAGCTACTAAAATGACCCCCAGGCAGCAGCAGGGGCTGGTGTGTGACCCACCAGACACTAAGGAGCCAGGGTCTCACCAGCTGATGGCTGGAGCTTTTGGCCAGTTTTGGATTTTGTGTCAGAGATGAACTTGGGTGCCTGTGACCAGTGTGCCTCTGAGTCCCTCTGCCAGCCAGGGCTGATGCCATCTCCACATCCTAAAGGTGGTACTGTGAGGACAGGCACACATGACCATGAGATGCTAGAATACAAAAAGTGAGAGGACCTCAGAGGGTCTGTGTTGTCTAAGTGGCAGAGCCATTTCTCGGAACAGAGTAAAAAAAATAATGAGAGTGATTCAGTGGTGACTCAGACCCTAAATATTTACCAAATGTGTGAGAACTTGAAGCTTGACAGATCCCAGCCAACTCCCACTCGGGTGTCAGAGGAAAAAAAAATATGACAGTTGCCCTCAGTGCCTGGAGTCAAAACCTCATTTCTTCCTTTCATTTTCCCTTGCTTCCTCAGCAGCACCGGTCCGAGTGGGCCTGCAGTCAGTGCTTGTCTTTCAGGAGGGAAAAATCAATGGGAGACAGGCAGAGCAGGTGGCCACCCAGGGACGTCTCTGGGAACAGAGTCACCTCTCAGCGAGGCTCTGCAGCTCAGCCTAAGGGTTCACACTCGGAAATTCCTCTAAGGAATAAACCCCAGCACTCTCTGCTCAGGGGTGAAACCAGGATCATTCAAGGTGGTTACATCTATTACTGCAAGATTGCCCTGTCCTGCCCAGCTGTCCAAAACACAAGCAACAAACAGAGGGTGATAACCAGGGAGGCGAGGGGGCAGGGGTTTGAGATTATTATTTGTATCCAGATTGGCTCTGTGCCTCCAGGAATAGAGTTTGAAGGCACACATCAAAAGATTTTCCATGGCTATCAACATGGCATAAGAGAGACCAGTGGCAGACAGAGCTCAGATATTATGGGCCAAGAAAAAAATACTCCATAGCAAAATGTGTGACACTGAGCTGTTCCACACAGGTGAGGAAGGAGGATGCTCCTTTCGTCCCTCTGGGGTATCAGAGTGCAAAAAGTGAGGTGGGTGCAACAATAAGACCAGATTTCTAGACAACTTCTGCACCAACCGTCCCCACAGCAAACCTTATAACCCAATAAAAAGGAAAATATCAAAGCTTTTCTAACTTCTTGTGGGCCATGAAATAGCTTTCCAGAAGCAGCAATTAAATAAATGGATTCAATAAAAAGAACGTCCATTTCCACTGAAGAATTAGATTAAGAATAATGAAAAAAGAATAATCTTCTGAGCTCCTCTTGTGGAGAAAGGAACAAGAGAGCAGCGGGTTTCTTAACCTAAGAGATTATAACCTTTTGAATATCCTGATCCCAGTCTAAGATGTAGGAATAAAAACTATTTTGTGCTGTGACAACATACATATGTGTTTTGGTAAGGGAACCAGTGCACATGCACAATATTTGTCTTTTCATATTTACCATGAGGGTCAGGATGCTGAGCTTTCATCCAAAAGGCCTAAATTTGGATGACTTAAAAAGAAAAAAATGAAAGGGTTCAAGCAAGTGACTATGTTCAAGCAAGGGTTCAAGGGGTGAAAGCAATCCAGAAGTTTAACTACTTTCTAAAGATCTCTTGAAATCTGGGCCAAGAAATACTGGGAGAGGTAGCTGTTTGAATGATAAGAGTGGATAGGAAAGAACTGAAGGAACAAGATGCCCATAACAAAACAGTGGCTGAAAATTATTTCAGCTGTTGGAAACAATAATTGAAAAAAACACAAGCAGTCATAATTTCACAGCCAGCTCAGCAGCAGTGATGGAAATGATGATGGTAATCTCCAGGTACATAACGACTACTAGAGACTTCAACTGCACCATTTCTGAGCTTGCTTGTGAGCTGACTTCTCAGTTACCTACTGATTTTTTTATTCTCATTTTGTCAAGCAGCCTCCAAGAGCTGAAAACACAAGTCATTAAATGGAAAATGTTTAATAGCAATAATTTTCTTTTAGAATGTGTGTCTGGGCAAGCCTAAGAGTACAATTTGCTGATTAGTCATTCTCAGCATTTCTATCTAGCAATTATATCTAGCATTTATATCCAGACATTATCTGAATAGGCTATTCAGATCCTAGTAAGGGAATATCAAACTCTAAATCCATTTTTTAAAGAGTGAATTGCTTGTAGTTCCGCCATATCCTCTTTCTAATTTTTGCTAGGATCATTTGATTTTGGAGGGAAAAACTGCTGTTTTCATACAACATAATGGTCTGTTTTCAAAGACTACTGCAGACAGCTTTCTCATTTAAATACTTCAGAGGTAGATAGCAGAAAACCTCAGTATTTATCACTCTGTTTCCTTCTGTGCAGAAGACTGTACCACAGAGCATACAAGATGTCTGATTTAATTAGAGAAGACATAGGAGAGCAAAACATCACACTTAGCTGCCTGGAAGGGGGTTATGTTTATACTCAGAGCTGCAGCCAGGCTCTGAAGCATGGGTCATGGATGGGAGCATTTATCCAGCCGAAAATATCATGCTTGCTCATGCATGCCTGATAATGTAAAAATAAAAGCCTGAATGCGTGAGACATTCACCAGGAGGTTGCATGACTTATTTGCAACATTGCTACATCCAGCAGAAGTTCATCCCCATATTTTCTATTGATCCAGCTACTAACACAGTGAAGAGCTAGACTGCAGCACTGCTTTGTACTCAATTGCCATCCTCAACAGATTCCTATCACACACTCCCCTGATGGGCAAGTTTGAGTCTGTTGCCTCAAGACAATTTTCTTTTTCTGTATCTTACACTGGTTGTTGGGGGGGAAAAATATTAAAAATATTCAGGGTGCTTTCTCTCACGTTTAAGAAACAGGATGATTGTGGAGTTGAGTGCTTACACTGATGCTGTTAATAATGTGCTTTAAGACAAAGAGCTGTGCCCCATCACTTAAACAGTACTTAGCATGCAATGGGCCGATACAGCTGGAGAAGAGAAAGTCCATCTGTTTTTTGAAAGGTCTTTCACTCCTCCCACACATAAGCATCATAATAGTCAAGTGGATTTTCCTGTTCCTAGTGACATGCTGTGATCCACTGCTGGAAGAGTTCTGCTGGACAAAGCTCTCCCTTGGAGGGAGACTGAGCCTGCAGTGCTCATCAGTAAGAAACACCATGAGCTGAAGGCAAAGCATCAGCTGGGCTTTGGTTAAGAAAAATCTCCAGCTTGAGTGATATGGAGGTCACACCTTACAGTAATTCTTTTTCTGGAAGAAGGTGAGTGAAATGTTCCAGCTCTAAATCAGGTAAATAATTGCTGCCTTCCACTTCTGTCTGCATTCCTTAATGAAATATTCATTTAGGAATGATATTGATGGGTTGCTGGATACAACAAATGGAAAATCACCACTGAAATGGATGCAGCTGATTCCCACTGACTCAGTAAGTACCATTTTTCACCTTAAGTAAAAGAAAAAAGGATTTTTGAGATTATTTATCATCCTCTAAATCCTTTATCCCCCAAGAAGCAGAATGTATGACTGCAGGAAGACATGTACTCTAAGCAATTAGAGTTCTTGCCTTTGGCTATTAAAACTAAACCAAATTTCCACCTCACCTCCTTCAAGAGGAAAAATTACATTTTTGACTTAGGTTATTTATTAGGGTAAGTTTTACCTGTAACTGGATTTGGAACAGAAAGATGAGACAAGGTCTGCCTTCAGTTCCTGATGCCTTTGCAAGCCAAAGATGCCAATGAATCCTAGTCCTGCTGCCATTGAATGCCTCTGTCTGGGCAACCTGGAAGTGTCACTTAGGTGGAAACTAATGTAGACTTGTACCAAGAACAATGGCCTGAGTCTTAGTGATCCATCTTTGCAACTGCTGTTGGGTAAAAATCCCTCTGCAAAGCTCAAGGAGAACATAGTGAAAGGAGATATCAGGATTGTCTCAAAGACAAAACCACCTTCCTCCTTTCCGATAAACAGGAATACTTGGCACGGCAGAGGAGGAAGACAAGCATGGGAAGCAGGAGGAGGATCCTCCTCTCCTATGGGTCTTTATGCCTTTGAGGAATCAAACTGAGCAGATGCACTGCAGGCTCAGAAGAAACTGCAACCTCAGCACTTTGTGTTCTTTCAGCATCACCACAGAGGATGCACTCACCAGCCTCACTCAGAAATGTGCCTCGAGAGGTGGCTACTGCAGACTCCGACACTCAGCTATGAACCACAAGCTAGACAGTTACGAAGTGAAACTGGAATAAACTTGTGAACTCAGTCAAAACCCTTCCTTGTTCCAGGAAGAAAAACACTTCTGCATTTTGCTGTCTCTGTCTTCCCTTTCCTCCCCAGTGTGCAGAAACGCATGCATTCACAGCATGTAAGAAATAGGGGTGGGGGCACATGCAACAGCTTGGGTTTGGGCAAAGCAATGATGCAACTGCAGCGAAACAGAGGAGAGAAAGCCACTCTGGGGACATTAGCCAGGTTGCAGAGCAACTCCTATCACATGGACCTAACACATGGTAAGACAAGCTTGCCCCATTCATACTCAACCAAGCCCCATTTAACCAGTCATTGCAGCTTGCTGAATGTTTTTATTTCCATCACTGCATATCAGCTTGAGAGCCTTCCCCTAGCTAGTCACTCCCAAATGCAGAAATCCAGCCAGTGCTGCAAATCAGAGCAGCCTTTGAGGTCTCCCGTGGAAAATGGCACAAGTTAAGGTGGTGCTGCTCCCCCTCTGACTGACAGTGGTCACTGGAGACCATGGATGCCACAAGATCTAGATGACACTTTTAGCCAAATGGTTTTCACCTTTTTTCCCCCCAGATTTGTGTATACATACAGATTTTGTATCTATCTAT